TTTTTTGCTGCCCACCCAGGGAACACCCCGAAAATGAGCATGTCTTGACAAGCAAGGATAAAGAAGAAAATAGTTTGAGCAGTCAAGTTTTGTGTTTTGTGTCACTGAACCCCATCTACCCAGCATAGAAGGCAGTACTAGGGCTTCATATCCTGCTTGGGGTGGTGGGAAGGCAGGCACCACGCCCTGCTCTTTCATTTAGTAACCAGAGATCCCTAGTGAACAGCCACCTGGAACATGACACACAGAAGTCGTAGTCATTTAACCCTGGCTTCTTAACCTTGGCACTGTTCTCCTTGTTGGGGGTTGGATCATTCTTGGTTAGGGGTGCCGGTGGCAAAGTTTTCCCCTGCAGCATCCCAGACTCTGCACATTAGATGCCAGTAACACTTATGATCCCTCAGTTGGGAGCACCAAAGATTGCCAAGGCTTTATTGGGGAGAAATCACCCCCATTGGGAACCACTGAGAGCTACATCCTCGTGGAAGATGGAGTAGATGGGTCTGTGAAGCGTAGTCGCTGTCTAACTGGCCTGAAGGAAAGGGGTTGGAATGATGCTAGTGCAGTTTGATGGCACCCCTCAGCCGACAGAGGGAAGGCTGTCTCATTTTCAAGAGTCTTGGAGCTTTGGCGGTGACTTCCTTTACCACTGGCTGAGGCATATCTCGTGTATTCCTGTGGGTCAATTTCTGCCCTCCAGCAGGTCTAGTAGGAGCCCTGGTGGTGCAGTGGGGTATGCACTGGACTGCTAACCACAAGTTCAGTGGTTCAGACCCATCACTCGCTCCGTAGGAGACAGAAAAGCTGTCTGCTCCCATAAAGATTTACAGCCTCAGAAGCCCTAGAGTGCAATTCTATCCTGTTCTATGGGGTCACTGTGAATTGGAATTGACTCTGTGGCGGTGGGTTTAAGACTGCCTGAAAGGGTATCATAGCAATAGGTTTGACTTGGTTTTAATAGGCCTGGTATATCAGACGGTTATAGTTACATGTTAGTTACTGATGCAGTTTTCAAAAGGCTAGAGAACGTGTGTGGGAGAAAGATCTGCATAGGGTTTTTGTTTTTTGTCTTAGGTATCTACTTAAAGTGCTGCCAGTGCTGCCGTGAACTGCGTCCACTTGTTCGATTATGCTCAAAGATGAACGGAGCCACTTATGTTTCTCTTTGTAGGCCCACCTCATAACTGGATGAAGGATTTTATCCTCACGGTGTCGATAGTAATTGGTGTTGGAGGATGCTGGTTTGCTTACACGCAGAATAAGACATCAAAAGAGCACGTCGCAAAAATGATGAAAGACTTAGAGAGCCTGCAGACGGCTGAGCAGAGCTTAATGGACTTACAGGAGAGGTGAGTCAGGAGAGGGGTAACTTCTGTTATGTGGGGAGGAAAATAGATGGCATAAAAATGCAAGATGGGCATGTGCGTATGCATTTCTTTTTATTTTTTAATAGTTTTATTAGGGGCTCATACAACTCTTATCACAAACCATACATACATCAATTGTGTAAACCATATTTGTACGTTCATTGCCCTCATCATTCTCAAACAATTTGCTCTCCACTTAAGCCCCTGGCATCAGGTCCTCTTCCCCGCCCCTCCCTCCCCGCTCTCCCTCCCTCATGAGCCCTTGATCATTTATAAATTATTATTTTGTCATATCTTGCCCTATCCAACGTCTCCCTCCCGCCACTTTTCTGTTGTCCGTCCCCCAAGGAAGAGGTCACATGTAGATCCTTGTAATCAGTTCCTCCTTTCCAACCCACTCTCCCTCTACACTCCCAGTATCACCACTCACAGCACTGGTCCTGAAGGGATCATCCGCCCTGGGTTTCCTGTGTTTCCAGTTCCTATCTGTACCAGTGTACATCCTCTGGTCTAGCCAGACTTGCAAGGTGGAATTGGGATCATGATAGTGGAGGGGGGCAGAGGAAGCATTTAGGAACTAGAGGAAAGTTGTGTTTTTCATTGTTGCTACATTGCACCCTGACTGGCTCGTCTCCTCCCCGAGACCCCTCTGCAAGGGGATCTCCAGTGGCCTACTAATGGGCTTTGGGTCTCCACTCCACACCGCCCCCCCTCATTCACTATGGTAAGATTTTTTGTTCTGATGATGCCTGATCTCTGATCCCTTCGACACCTTGTGATTGTACAGGCCGTTGCGCTTCTTGTGGGGAGCACACCTGCAGAATGTTTGCCCATTTCAGTAAAAGTATCACTGTATTGTGATTGCAGATTTATTATGAATATGTACATTTGGGAATAGAGTCGGGCAGAACGAGGGCCAGTAGAAATGATCACCTTTTGGTGGAATGATGTGCACAGTTAGCTTTTCTTTCTCAGCTTGATTTGAGTCAGTAAGAAATTTCACAAACGGGCTCTTGGCTGAAGAGTATGGCTCTCTAAGACCCCAGTGCATTGAGCCCCTGATCACCCCATGCTGTGTCGTGGACCGCCTGGTGCTTTTCTCCTCCAGAGCCACAGTTAATAACAAAGCTGTGAATTCTGTGATGGCCTGCATGTGATTGCTGGATATATTTTCTTCGGTAAGATAACAATGTTTGGAAACCTTTGTGAGGGATGTTTGTTTTTATTGCTCTGTAAGGCTCGAAAAGGCCCAGGAAGAAAACCGAAATGTCGCCGTAGAGAAGCAAAATCTGGAGCGCAAGATGATGGATGAAATCAATTACGCGAAGGAAGAGGCCTGTCGGCTGCGAGAGCTGAGGGAAGGGGCTGAGTGCGAGCTGAGTAGACGCCAGTATGCTGAGCAGGAGCTGGAACAGGTACTCGGGCCTCCTAACACGTTCCTCTTGGGAGCTCATGCTGTCACCCTGAGAGCAGCGTGTCAGTGTCTGTCCAGTCTTCCACGTCCAGTTCCATCACAGAGTTCCTTATTTAGGACAGTCATTTGTCCACACAGTGCTCTCACGGCCAGGGAGTCCGTGCTGGCTCCTAGCCACCCTGTAGCAGAGGAGAAGTGCCCCCGTGCGTTTCCGAGATGGTAACTCTTTACAGGAGTAGAAAGCCTTGTCTTTCTCTCCCGGAGCGGCTGGTGGTTCCAACGGCTGCCCCTCTCCCATTAGGGTTCCTTCACACCATTAGCCTTGATCAAAGATGTCGATGTGGTCAAAGAACAGTTTTCATTCCACAGGAAGCTATGCATCATACTCATTCCTGCATTGACTCTTCTGGTGGTCCTTTTGAGCAACTTTAAGGCATTTCTCTTGTTATCTGTTTTATGCCTGTGTCTCTAGCTGGAACCTAGTAAAACAAAGCGTATCTAATGCTGAAATTCTCTGCGAAGGTAAAGAATATGTACTGACCTTCCCTTTGAATCCTGTTAATTGATGTAGAACGTAAGCCATCAGAAACCCAGCTAAAGGTGACCTTCTGCACAACTGCTTCTCCTTTCAGTTTCTGAAGAGTGAATGTAGGACTCAGGCACTGCTGAGTCCTTTGGAAAAGGCGAGGTAGATTATAGGCTTCGCTGCCAGCTCTGGGGCCAAGAGGCTAACGTGGGGGTCCAGGCCATGCTCCCTGTTGGATGCTTGCAGGGAGTCTGCTTCCTTGCTGGTTCCAGCCGATAGAGGCCACCCACTTGGGTTGGCTCCTGGCTCCTTCCTTCAGAGCCGTCTTCAGAGAGCATCCACCACTATTTTCACTCCCTCACCTCCTCCTGCCTCTGGCCCTTCCTTTACAGATAAAGAGATTGAGGGGGAAAATGAGAATTTAGAAAACTCGCTCAAAATTAGAACGGTACTCAATATTGTAGCAGAGGCTAAACGCTAGGACATCGGTTTCCTACTTTGCTTTCTCTACTGCTGCCTTCTCAAGCAGATGTTCCATGAGAAGTGTCACGCGTTAATGGGATGAGTGAGTTTCAGGTTCAATTCATGGGGAAATATGCAGTGGGCTATATTGGCTCCTCCAAGGTTGTTGTTTTTGGGGGATGTGTCTGATTGAATGACTTTGGCCATCTCTTTTGCTAACTGGTTAAGTGTTCATCCCTGTCCCCAGTCATCTTGTTTTGACCCTTCTCTCTTGTAAATAGTGTGCTCTTTTAGATGGCTTCTTAGGCATATTCTTCAGGCCTGGCTCATTTACCTGGCAAACTTTGTGTACTGTAGAGACTATAGTCAGCAGCCAGGGAGTTAATAAGAAAAGGCCTAGCCCAAACTGAACTGGGTCCCAAACTTAGACCTTCCACCCTGTACTCCTGGGGGAATTCCCTGCTATTTCCACCAAGACCTCTAGCTCTTTGTTTTTTTGCAGTACCTGAAAGATGCTTTTCTAAGCTTTGCAGATAAGAGAAAGTAAATCAGAAATTCTTTGACGGAGAGAAACTGGTGGCGGTATTTTACACACAGCTGGCACACAGTAAGAAGAAGAGTAATCTGAAGCTGGGGCTGCCAAGGGCTGGCACACCTTAGGAGAGAGACCCTCAGGTTACCACAGTATCTTGTCACAGCCCAAACCTCATACTCCTAATGAGGCCCCGAGTCAGTCAGGCCAGGTTTGAGGAGGAGGATCTACTTCAGAAAGAGATCTCCCCAACACAATGATAGTAATAAGAAACAGTTTTCAACTGATTTTTGACAAAGGTGAGAAGTCTACCCGATGGGGAAGAAGAGTTGTTTCAATAAGTGGTACTGGGAAAATTGAATCTCCACGTGTGGGAAAATGAAACAGGATCCTTACCCCTCACCATACACACAAACAAACTCCAAATGGAGTAAAGATTTAAATGTGTAAGCTAAAATTGTAAAATCCTTAGCCAAGCAAGCAAAGGCACTACTCATCCGCCCTAGCTTACAATAACAGCTCTCTACTATAATACAAAAGGACGGACAGCCAAAGGCAAAACAAGTAAGTGGGACTTTGAAAATTTTAAGTTTTTGTTCATCAGAAGACTTTACCCCAAAATGAAAAGACTAGCTGCAGACTGGAGGAATGTTTTTGGAAACAGTGTATCCAATAAGTATCTAATAACTAGATGTATATAATATTGGAACAACATAACACAAAGACAACCCAATCTTGAAAAGGGACAAGGACTTGAGTAGACATTTCAATAGACAGGACATTCAAATGGCCACCAAACACCTGAGGCTCAGTGTCCTTAGCCAGCAGAGAGATGCAGATCAAAACCACAGTTACAGTTACGCTGTTGCCAAGGTGGTGAAGATAAAAAACATTGTTGATGAGGAAGTGGGGAAATTGAAACCATTATCGTCTACTAATGGAAAGCAGAATAGTGCTGTACAGAACTGTGTGGCAGCACCTCAAAAAACAAAATAGAACTACCATATGACCCAGCAGTTCCACTCTTATGCAGATGCCCAAAGGCTTGAAAGCAGAGAATCAGAATGAAATTCATACAACATTGCACACGCTAATCCAAGTAAAATAAGGTGACCAGAATTAAAGTGGGACACCATTGACTAGGCGTCAGGTGTGGGGTTCTTGATTAAAAATTTGGTCTATATGGACTAAATAGACCGTTCCCTAGTTTGTCGTGCATTCTTTCCAAAAATTGGGACTTTTTGAAACGCCACAAATCGGGACTGTCGCACCCAAAGCGGGACGTCTGGTCACCTTAAAGTAAAACCAACCTCTCTGTTAATCAAGTAGATTCTGACTCACATTGAACCTGTAGGACAGAGTAGAGCTTGACCCTTTGGGTTTCTGAGACTTTAAATCTTTACAGAAATAGCCAGCCTCATCTTTCTCAATGCAGAATGACTAGTGGGTTTGAACTGCTGACTTTAAAGTTACAGTTCAGTGTTCAGCCCATGAGCCACTAGAGTTACTTTTGTGTTAACTGCAGTGCTATTGATAATAGCCAAATTGTAAATGCTGATCAACAGATGAATGAATAAAAAGTATGTGGTTCATTGAAATGGAATCTTGATATGTGTGTGCTAGTCTGTGTGGAGCCTGAAGACATCATGCTAAGTGACTAAGTTGATCACAAAAAGTCAGATATTTTATGAGCTCACAGAGAAAAGAAAAGGCAAATGTACAGAGATCGACATTTGTTACCGGTCACCAAAGATGGGAGAGAGAAGGGGGTGGGTGGTTAATGGCGATGGAAAAATTACGTCGGTTATTATACTGGATTCTAGATACTTTGACTGTGGCATCTTGCTTTATGTATTGTTCACACACACACACACACACACACACACAGAGGAATCTTTCATGTTTATTAAAAAGTCAAGCATTTCTCACCCATTGTTTCTAAAGGAAGAACTTATAAATGATCATCTCTCTTTTTTGTTGTATAACTTGACATACTTCATTCATATCATCTCTGTTCTAACAGTCCAGAGGTTAGGGCTGTAAAAAAATCTTTTTAAAATTTAATGTTAAGTTTTAGTGACACAGACTACATATCACAAAATTCATGCTCATTGCTTTAAAACAAAAACTTCAAATTACATAAAGTGCTACTGCGATCATATGATAGAGATTTAATGTTTACAGAACTATTGTTTTTCACTGTGTGCATTTCCTTATACATGACAATGTATTTCAGAGTATGGGTTGGAATTTAGGTTGAATGATAAACTGATTAATCATACAGAAAACATTTGAGGTAATTGTCACTTTTGGAAGGTGGGAGGGATATTCAAAATTTTGAGATATATTTAACAGTCAGTTTAAACATTGTTATGCTTCCACTTATTTAAATGTGCAATGCATAGATTTGTAGGTAAGCAGTTTTTTTTTTAAGGGAAATGATTTTATGGTGATAACATGAAGGAAATTCTTCTAACTAAAGAGAAAAAATTGAGTAAAATCTTTTCTGGCTCTCTGTATACTTCCTTGGAAATGAAAACTGTACCAAAACGCTGGCTTTAACACCCTGCATGAGAAGGGCCCCACTCCCATCCCTGCGGTGCTGCTGTACAGAGCTGCAGCTCACAGAAGCGGGCGCAGAGGCTCTTCCGGACAGAGTAGCAGGGCTGCCATATAGCTTACCCAGCAGTCTTAGTGTACAGGATTGTCCTCGGCACGTTGCGTAATGAATCATATCAGACAAATGTGACCTAGGATTGGTTTTCAGTGAACGAGGTCTGTCTTACCCTTACTTATTACCTCTTTTAAACTGTATGTACAGTGTTCCTTTTTGGATGTATTTTTTTAGTTTTTGATTTTGTATGTTTTTTACATAACTCATATTTTTTACAATATCTGACAGCCATGTTATTACTTCATCAAAAGTTGGTGTCTATTTGCTCTCGTTAGTTTTATTATTAAATAAAAGCCAGTTTATTTGGATATGTTGGATTTGTTCAGAGCAAACATTCCTCTGCAGTTCAGCTTAGGACTGTAGTTCTGGTGACCTTCCTAACTTGTGAGGACTGTTCATTTTAAATCATGGTTTTCTAGAAGCACGATGTCACTTTGAGACGAAGGTGCACCTGACCCAAGCTGTGATAGCTCCAGTTACTTCCTATGCATGTGAACACTGGACAGTGATGCTTTTGAATTCTGGTACTGGTGAACAATATTAAAAATACTATGGGCTGCAGAAGAATAAATCTGTCTTGAAAAAGGTATAGCCAGAATACTCCTTAGAAGCGAAGATGGTGAGGCTTCACCTCATACACTTTGGGCATGTTATCAGGAAAGACCAGTGCCTGCAGAGGGACATGCTTGGTAAAGCAGAACCGTGGAAAACAGGAAGACCTTGGACAGGATGGATTGATATAGTGGCTGCAACAATGGACTCATGACAAAACTGTGAGGCTGGCTCAGGCCCTCTGCCACACATAGGGTTGCTATGAATTGGAACCAACTCAACAGCCTCTATCACCACCAGAAGCACGCTGCCTCTGGAGTTCACTCACTCATCACTTTGTCTGACGGTGTTGAGCGTTCAGAAGTTCCATCCTATCCCCACCTTCCGTGTGAGGTCTTGCTCGTTTTTAATGGCTCATTCTTAGGGTGGGTTCTCATTTTCTTCTGTCATTTTCTTAGGCTTTTCGTAACACTTACTGCCACCTAACACTATGCATTTTATTTTTTGTAGTTTTGCTAGAGGGCAGCTGAAAGGAGTACTGTGACATCCTTACACTGAAGGTTAAAATCAAGTAGACACTTAACCAGATATGTCTTCTTGACATTTATACATGGCCTGCAAATGCTTTTACTCTGTGCTCTCTGGTAGATTAGCGACTGAAATAGAAGATGTGGTGAAGCCGACCTTAACAGCAGATTTCTATGTAACAGAAGTAACTGGATTAAAAGAAGGTTTAATGTAAAGTGAAGCAAAGACATAATTACTCTGGGAAAAATTCAGGGTGTCTAGGTAGATTTGTGACCAGGTCTGCTGGGAACATTAGGACTAAGGAGAGGTGGTAGAACCATTACCCATTCTATTTCTGACACTACTTACCTACTCCATCAATCCTTTGATTGTGGGAAAAGTGTGATATCTTTTAGGTTATATGTGACCCAGATTTATGTGTCTCAGTGCTTCTGGCAATTATAAAACATAATAACTAAATGCTTCGACTTCAATAGGAGTAAAAGCCTTAGCATGGCTTCAGGAATTTAAGATCCACTGAAAACCGAAGCTCTCCTTTCAGTGTTAGAAATGTGTACTGCATTTTATCCTCATGAATTAAGAGAGATTTACAAAGGGCATGGTTAGAATTGCCTTTTTCTTAAAGAGCACAGTTAAAATGACCCTTTCTTTTAATTTTGGTATTAATAAAATGGTGTCTTCCTCCCATTTTTTGGTTTAACTTTCAGGTTCGCATGGCTCTGAAAAAAGCTGAGAAAGAATTTGAACTCCGAAGTAGCTGGTCTGTTCCCGATGCACTTCAGAAGTGGCTTCAGTTGACCCATGAAGTCGAAGTACAGTACTACAATATTAAAAGACAGAATGCAGAGATGCAGTTAGCTATTGCTAAGGATGAGGTATTTCTTTCTCCTGTCATGTTTTGAAAATCGCTTTTTGTTTCTTAGGCTGCCTTCTAGTGAGATTAACCAAGTAGGATACAAATATCTGAAATGGATTTTTTTTTTTTAGTGCTTACACATTATTTTCCTTTTTTGGTATTGTATACACTGACCCTTGTAGTCATGGGCCATGAAGTAAAAATGACTTTATTTAAAGAAGCTTATACTTTCAAAATGACCCTAGTGTCATTTTTAAAATATCAGGGCGATTATCATGATTATAAATGTTTTATACGAAGCTTTTCTCCTCCAGGTTGCCGCTTCGTATCTGATTCAGGTTAGTAGTTACTAGAAATTAATGTCTGAATTTAATACTGCCTTCTTAAATGGCGTGAAATGAGAATAAGTATTCATCTGATTCCTAGCAAAAAGAAACCAGCTCTGTCCATGCCACTAACACCTCCATTGCCGTAGGATATGTAGTTCATGTTCTTCTGTGAGTTTTAGGAAGATTCCAGGCTTTCTCAGACATGTAGATAGAGGAAAGTTCTCCACCAGAGTTTTCAATTCCACTGATTGCCTTAGGAAAGCATGCTTCCATTCTACTGCATACGCTTTCTTCATGGATAAACAGGGTTGTATCTTGGCTAATGATTCGCCACTGGTTTTATGTTTATTAATACATTTCACACAAAATAAACACTCATTTGTGAGTATGTATGTGTGTGCGTGTGTGTGGGCTTGTTTCAAACCGAGCCTGTGGATTATCCGTCTCCCCTTGCCTTCTAGGCGGAGAAGATTAAAAAGAAGAGAAGCACCGTCTTTGGAACGCTGCATGTTGCACACAGCTCCTCCCTTGACGAGGTGGACCACAAAATCCTGGAAGCAAAGTACGAATGTTGCTCCGTTATTGCGTGGGAATGAGCAGATTATAGACCCTTTGTATATTAACCTGCCTTTTGAGCTTGTAAAAATATATATTTGAATTCTGCTTAAGACTGGGTCATGTCTTGTTGAAATTAGTGAGTGCACAGCGCTGCTTTTATTTCAGGGCCACAATGAACAGCCCCTGCTGCAACAAGTAACTCTTTTACTGACTCTTCCAGGAAAGCGCTGTCTGAATTGACAACTTGTTTACGAGAACGACTTTTTCGCTGGCAACAGATTGAAAAGATCTGCGGCTTTCAGATAGCCCATAACTCGGGGCTCCCCAGCCTGACCTCGTCCCTCTATTCTGATCATAGCTGGGTGGTGATGCCCAGAGTCTCCATTCCACCCTACCCAATTGCTGGGGGAGTTGATGACTTAGATGAAGACACCCCCCCTATCGTGTCACAGTTTCCTGGTAAGTTGTGAATTCTACGTGCAGAGATGCGATACATCATTTAAGTAACTTGCTATCATGACCCTTAGTGAATCATTTATTTTGAAGTCTATGGTAAAAATTTTGTTTCCCTTTCATTCTCCTTTTTCTTTTCATTATTATATTTTAGATGTTATTGCTTACCATTAACATTTTTGCATGTAGACATGCAATTAGTCTGATTTTTGTGTGTAGACATGTGGTTAGTTGGGTGGCACAAACAGTTCATCAAGTGCTCAACTACTAGCCTAAAGGTTATTGATTCAAATCCACCCAGAGGCACCTCAGAAGATAAGGCCCAGTGATGTGCTTCTGAAACGCCACCGTTTTTTTGTTTTTTTTTGTCTACGCATTTATTGTCTGGGGGTGCTTCCCTTCTCCAAATTGGCTCTGAAGGCCCTGCCCACCGGCCTTCTGGGGAGCGCCCTGCTCGATGCCAAGGGCAGCCAAGAGTCTGTCCAGAACACAGGGAGCCCAGTCTAAGCCACATCTACTCCATGCACCATCAAGGAAGCACAGCACGTACAGTGATAGTCCGTACCAGCCCCACAAGAGAAAGGTTGGCCCTAGAGAGATGTGGACCCAGCGACTGCTCAGGGAGCCGCCTTTGGAGGACAAACCAAATGGCTTTGATGGTGTTCACCCCCACGGCTTGCATTGTTAGCATTTTCCATACGTTCAGGACCAGGAGTACCTCTCATTTCTGGAAGCACTCTCCCAGCAGCCTTGCCTCATGGGCCTGGCTCTAGAAGTCCTGGGACTGGGTGCCAGCAGGGGGCTGGAGGCCGGTGTGCAGCTGGTACATGCGGCCAAGGACCAGTGTGAGGAAGGTGCTGCTGTTGCTGATCTCCAGCAGGGTCAGGTTGTCTAGCCTGGTGTGTGCCTCTTGCTGCCTCACAAAGCGGTCGACTGAGACTCAGAGCTTCGCTATGCGCGTGTCCCACGTCTCCTTGATCAGGGTGTGAATCTCATCTGCTTTAGGGATGTTGTCGGCAGCATGATTCAACAGCAGCTGGCTGAGCTCCATGTAGTGCGGGCTGGGTATGGGGGTAAAAGTTTCTTCTTTCTGTTCATGGTCCCTCATCTCCTCTAACTTCTCTACGTCCATCCAGTCGGGCGGGAGCAGCTGGCACTTCTGCCTCTACTTCAGGTTCACCACCAGCCAGAGTGGCACCTGCACCAGAAGTCCAGGGTTGAAGGGTCCCAGGCCCCCCACTGAGGTAGATCTTAATTCAGATTGAAGTTAGGGGTAATGGTCACCAGCTCCTTCTCCGCCAGAAACTCCACCTCGGCCGTGTCCATAGCGGCGCAGAGCGGCCCAGGCTCAGCACCTCAAGCGCGCCCCTCAGGGTCCCGGAGGAGGTACCATGGCCAATACCACAGTTTTGAAAATCCAGTAATATTCTGCACATAGGAGCTTGTCCTGAGTCACCATAAAATATAATATTGTATATGTATATATAGCGATAACTATGTAAATATACATAGAGGAAGGAGCCCTGGTGGTGTAGTGGCTACAAACCACAAGGTCCCACCGGCCCCATTCTCAGGAAAAAGACAGGGCTTCCTATACCCGTAAAAGTTACAGTCTCGGAAACCCACAGGGGCAGTTCTACCCTGTCCTATAGGGTCACTACTATGAATCAACTTCCACTTGGTGGCAGTCAGTTAGGTTTTGGCTGAAAGAGAGAGAGAGAACATGCACGCTCTGGTAGCATAGTAAGTATGTATTGGACTTCTAACCACAAGGTCAGCAGTTCCAAACCACCAGCAGCTCCATGGGAGAAAGATGAGGCTTTCTATCCCGTAAAGAGTTGCAGTCTTGGAAACGCACAGGGGCAGTCCACCCTGTCCTTAGACGGTCGCTCTGAGTCAGAGCTGACTTGCGGGCAGTGAGGGTTAGATAGAGAGAACATTTGTTGTTGTGACTTGCCGTTGAGTCAATTCCAGCTCGGCAGTCCTATGTTCAGTAGAACGAAAGTTGCACAGTCCTGCCCCTCTTCACTAAGTCCATCGATAAGAAGACTAGATTGTTCACCGTTCAACAAACTTAAGGTGCATTTATGTTTAGAAAAACATGTTTTTTTGTTGTTCCTCCCAACCATGGTTTTTCATGTATAGTTTTCATTATATTGTTTTGTTATGCCCTGTTTTGAAAGTATGTATGCTGCTCAGAATTAAGTTTTAGTAGAAAATCTATTTTAGCTTTGACTTTTTATAGTAAAAATCTTTGAAGACCTTGCTATCCATATTATTGTCTGATTAATTTTCCTATTCTTGAGGAGACAATTTCCATTCTTTCTGAGACAATGTAGACAGAACAAGATTCTTAAGAGCCGAGATTAGGCATTGGTTGGTTAGAAACTTCCATGGAAATTTTAATTTTTGAGGTAACTCAAAGCCTGACGTGTGAGCTTTTGCCAGTTTGACTTTTTCTGGGGGGTGGGGTACAATTGTTAATAGCCTTTCTGAAATTAATTGCAATTTCTCCAACTCACTGCCATTGAGTCGGTTCTGACTCAAAGAGTATTAATTTTAAAAACAATTTTATGAGCTGAAACCTATAGTTTGCAAACGAATTTCCCAGTTCCTGGTCATCTGCTGTGTTCAGGTAGGTATGGGTTAAAATCTCTGGTTGAATGGAAAAGAGAAGACAAGCAGATTGAGGAAGCACGAAACTCTCAGGAGAGGCTGGACTCGCAGACAGCGCTTGTGGTTGTGAAGTTGTGGCCGGAGGTGGAGTTACACTGCAGTTTGACGTCCACTGGTGCTTATTTGAACTACCTCCCTTAGGCTTCCCAAATGAAACCCTGATTCATAAATACACACCCTTGTTGGAAAACCTTAACTTTTAAAAGGGAAGTTCTTTATTAGACTCCATAACAATACCAAATTAAAATCATGCATAATGATGCATTCATTAAATTAATTACACACGTACCCTTTTTTGTTTGCATTTTGTAAAAACCACTTTTTGGTGAGTCAGATAATCATACTCCATTTGGGGGGTGGGTAAGATATATATAGGAGCTCTGGTGTCATAGTGGGTGATACATTGAACTGCTAACTGCAAAGTTAGCAGTTAGAAACCACCAGATGGTCCAAGGGAAGACAATGAGACTTTTTACTCCTGTAAAGAGTTAGTCTCGGAAATCCACAGGGGTAGTTCTACTCAGCACTACAGAGTTGATGTGAGTTAGAATTGACTCCCTGGCAGTAAGAAGATATTCGTTTGTCCATTAGAAGAGCACTCCTGTTTCAAATGCGAAAAATTAGTGGCCAAAGCTATAGATAATTGGGCTGTATAGAGCAGTTTGAATATGAACTATAAGAAAGTCTGAGGATTTGAACTTTAGTGTGCTGGGATCAGTTGTGTTCCCTGGGAACTAATGCCTACTGTAATTAGAATTAGGGAACTCTGTCTCCCTCTAGTGGCCCCATTCTGTTTTTACCTTTGTTATAAAAGAAATTTCTGATAAAGGAGTAACTGCAGGCAGTCAGACAAGCTTCTTGACTTCTAAGCGGTTGTAAAATGTTCTAGCTTTCACTACCTTGAGTTAATAAGAAAGTGTGCTTGTGGCATGTTCGGATCACAGGAAGAGACTGAGTGATAACTGTCTCCCTTGACTTATTGTGTGTTCTCTCTGTGTGAATAGAAGGACTGATAGTTATTTTCCTGTTATTTTTCCAGTGTTCACTAAATATTTTTTTAAGGAAGCCAGGTGGTGAAGTGGTGAAGCACTCAGCTACTCAGCTAGTGAAACGCCAGCACTTCAGCCCCACTGGCTTCTGCATGGGAGAGCAGCAGCGGTCTCCTCTTGCACAGACTGCAACCTAAGAAACTGGGTGGGGCATTTCTACTGTGTGGTGTGGGGTGGCTTTGAGTTGGAATTTCTAGTGGGAATATAGTACCTATTTATTTAGCCCTTCTGATTAGGGGTAGCGACCCTGGTTGCCCTTTGGGCTGCTAACCTCAAAGTTGGCAGTTCAAACCCACAAGCCTGCACTCCACAGCTGAGCTGAGGCGGTCTGCCCCTGTGAAGATGGACAGCCTTGGGAACCCTATAAGTCGGAACTGACTCGAAACAGACCATGCAGGCTCTAGTAGATGCACCAAACGTAATGTATAGAAGTATGTATAGAATTACCAAGCCATTACAAATTAGTAGCTAACGGTGCAGTGTATCATTTCAAAGCATATTGTATTTTTATCATATACATGTCTTTACAAGCAATATGTATACTGTTGTCTTTTTAAAAATTACATACATATTATAAAAAGTATAATCTTTGTAATCAAGGATCTACGTGTAACCTCCTCCCTGGGGGATGGACAGCAGAGAACTGGGTGAAGGGAGATATTGGACAGTGTAAGATATGACAAAATAATAATAATTTATAAATTTTCAAGGGTTCATGAGGGAGGGGGGAGTAGGGAGGGAGGGGAAAAAAGGAGCTGATGCCAGGGGCTTAGGTGGAGAGCAAATGTTTTGAGACTGATCAGGGCAATGAATGTACAAATGTGCAATAAAAAAAAGTATAATCTTCAAAACCCTTTTGCCAATATCGTCACACAAGAGCACGAGAGTTTCCATGTTTGTGTTAAATTAATTTTAGTCACATTAATTGCTTATGCGTCAAACGAGTTTGTTTTGTGACACAGTTATGTGCTCAGTTACTAGCCAAATGCTGCCACTATAAACCCACCCAAAAGGTTCATGTCTCAGCAGAACCTCTGTAGATAGGTAGGTAGGTAGATTGGCTGACTGACCCACTAACCCATCCTTAGATACCTTGGAAGATAGGCATAGTGATCTGCTTCTGAAAAGTCACAGCCGTGAGAAACCTTCCCCCCCAGCCCCAGCAATCAATGTTAATGGGGGGTGGGAGTAGGGGAGGCATCTGGAGAACGAGGCTGATGGTGGTTGTACAACTTGAAGAACAAATTTAGTGTTTTACTGAATCATACATGTAGAAATGTA